TGCTGCCTGAGCACTGTGTCTCTCTCTGTGTGTGTGTACATGGGAGGCAGTGGTAGAGAGACATTTTTACCCCCCCTCCTCAGTTTGGCTCATTCCCTGACACAGGCCAGCGGGGAGGGGGGGTGCTGAGGACCAGGCAGAGAGGTACCTGGACCAGCCAGTCCCCGAGGGAAAGCAATCGGGGTGGGTGTGGGTGGGGGACTCTTCATCTGTCACTCTCTGCCTGATCTTTCTGGACTCTGACACAAGGCTGTGGAGTGTGTGTTGTGAGAGAAGGCAATGCCAGTGACCCTGCCTGCAGCTGCTGCTTGTGTAAGTCCAGTTGTGTGAAAAGACAGAACTCAAGGTGCTGCTTCTCGTGCCCAGCAGTTCAGGCAGAGAAACAGCCCACCTGTATCCGGAGGGACGCAATGGGGGCAAGAGGTCCTGAGAGAAGCACAGAGGTTTTCCCTCAGAAGATGCTGTCACCTCAGCATCATGGCCTTGGGTTAATTAATGATGGAGCCTCTCCCGCCCCCACCCACCTCTCTTGCTCTCTGTGTTTACATACACACATATCAATATGCACAGAGACACAGACACAAATAAAGGTACATACATACACACCTGGGCAAAGGCATCCATACCTGCACCTGAAACAAGGTGGGGAAGGCACCACCTAGCAGACTGCAACCATGGCCCATCTGCTCCCCTGCCAGGCTCTCCATGCCAGGAGGGCATTGTTGATACAGTGTGCCAAGCCTGCAGCATTACATGGAGCAGGGTGGAGGGGCTCTTTCTGGAATACCAGGCTAGGATCCTGAAACAGAGGAATGGTCCCTCTGCTCTGCCCTCCTGATTTCTTGCCCCTCACCAGTGTTTAATCCCCAGCCTGGGCTGCTTTCCTTTCTCTGGTGAATAGGGCCCCTGGGAATACTTGCAGGTTGGTTAGCTTGACTGAACCATCTTTCTCTATTGTGGGGCGGCAGCAGCAGCAGCAGCAGCCCTTTCGTCCAGCAGCAGCTCCATCATTGGGCGATGTGATTGTCTGCATGAGCACAACCAAGGTAGGGGGGGGGGGGGGAGAAGCAGAGCGAGCGCTGCAGCTGCAGACCTGTTTCAGCAATGTTACAAAAATAGGGAGAGAACGGGAGGGCGAGTAAAGAGAAGGAACGGGGAGAGCAAAACCTCTTCCTCCTCCTCCTCCATTTCTTTTGTGTGTGTTTTTTCCCCTGGTGATTTCTGGGGACTCTGGATGAGCTATTCTGAATCTCAGTGAAACTGCCTCTTCACTAACTTTAAGATGAGCTAAGGAGATTTGGCAGGAGTGACTAGCTCCAAAGAGTAGAAACCAAATCATTGGGATAGCTGTCCACACCACCAGCAGCAAATATATAGATGATGGCATGCTTAGCCATCCTTTATGGCAACCTTAGAAGGTAGGCCAGCATTATTATCTGCTTATTGTCGGTAAGAGGTTAAAATGGCTTGCCGAAGGCAACATAAAATTTAATCTGGCAGATTAATATTCTCAAAGGATTTGGCAGTATCTTGAGGTGTGTTTACATGTGCATGCAAATCAATGGATCAACATTTTATAACCTGGGAGCTTTGTTTTTGAATTGATTCCATTGAAAAGGTGTTGCATTTAGGACAAGACTTTTTGTGAGTTGCAAGATTTCACTTGTGATGTTAAATTTGAGATGACTCATCCACACATGCCAGTCATCACTTGATGGTGCAGTGGTCACATGATGAACATAAAGGTGTGAGCCTTAGTGTCTTCCCACTTGTTCCCTCCCTCTCCCCACTCTTCTTCCTCCTCCTCCTCCTCCTCCTCCTCCTCTTCCTCCTCCTCCCAGAATCCCTTTATGCACATATGCCATGGTGAGACATGGCATGAGCAGACCTTATTCTTTGGAATGTCCTTTCCCACCATACAAATGTGCAAAGCGTAGAAGTGAAAATACAGTCATCCACAACATTGCTCCCCTTCCTTTACGGCAAAGCACGAATCACCAGGAATCTGAAATTTCAAGAAAAGCAGTCAGTTAAAATATAGTCAGTTATTGCATGGGCCTTCCAGGACATATGCTAATTGGAACTTCCCTAGTCAAGTTTTGCTGCTGGTGCTGGCTCTCCTCTCTCTAAATGACAAACGAGTAGTTATTTCTCCCCGTCTCCACAGTGTTCCCTCACATGGCACAACATAGGACAGGCACAGAGCTTGGAAAAATTACATTTTCGGATACAAGTTCCAGAATCCCCTGTGCTATCTGATGGATTCTGGGAATTCTCTCTTTCCAAATTGAAACTGCAAACATGCGGTGGGCTAAAGGTTCTCCACTCCATCTGATGTCAAGTCAATTCCAACTTATGATGATCCTACATTAGCGGGGTTTCCAAGGTTTGTGAGCTGTGTAAGGAGTTTTGTTGTTATTCTCTCTCTCTTTCTCTCTCTCTCTCTCTCTCTCTCTCACACACACACACACACAGAGTTTTTCTATGTCCAAGCAGGGATTTCAACCTAGATCTCCTGAGTTCCAGTCCAGCACTCTATCCTCAGCAGCCCTGCTCTTGTAAACTCAGGTCTATGGTTTCCTGTAGAGAGTCAATCCATCTTGTATTTTGTCTTCCTCTTTTCCTGCTGCCTTCAACCTTTCCTAGCAATATAGTCTTTTCCAGAGAATCTTGTCTTCTCATGATATGTCCAAAGTAGGGCAGCCTCTATTTCATTTTTTTGTCTTCAGGGATAGTTCAGGATTGAATTGCTCTAGGAACCACTTGTTTGTCTTTCTGACAGTCCACAGTACCTGCAAAGTTCTTCTCCAGCACCCTATTTCAAACAAATCATTTTTCCTCTGTCATCTTTCTTCGCTCTCCAGCTTTCACACCCATACATGGTTATTTGGAATACAAGAGTGTGAATGATCTTGGTTTTAGTCTCCAGTGACACATCCTTACACTTGCTGGTCTTTTCTAATTCTTTCATTGCTGCCCTTCTATCTCAGTTTTCTTCTGATTTTTTGGCTGCAGTCTTCATTTGTAGTGATGATTGAACCAGTGCAAACAAGATCTTTCACCTTTTCAATTTCTTCCTAACAAGTTAGCGAATCAGAGATCACATCTGAAATCCAGTAGGAACTGGATCGTACAGACTAGTTTCCCCAGAGCCATGAAAGTGGTATACTAAGGTTATCACTGCTTGATGCTAAACACACCTTTCCACTACCCACCACCCCTGTCCTGCTTGGCTCTACTCAGACAGGTTGGATTCAAAAACATGCAAAACCTGTTTGGTCCAGAGACTATAGTGGGATGGACAAAAGCATGTGCAAGTAACTATAGCTCTTTTGTTGTTGCTTTCAAATTTCTTAATGGTTGTGGTTGACTCACCTGAATAGAGCAAGGGAAAAAAAGGAGGCACAAGAAATATTTGTATCCAAACTAATTTCCATTCGTAGTAGAAAAATGCCAGTTGAATAACTGTCACAGTGTTAATTGGAGGAGATAAGAAAGACAGTGGCCTCTGCTTAACATTTGGCTTCTGTGTCTTTTTCTTCTTCTTCTGGATGGAGAAGTCCAGGTTTTCCCCGTTTCATCATGCCCTCTGAGAATCCTTGAATATCTGCAGTGAAGTCTTGTAAACAGTAGACTTGGAATGATGCCTGAGATTACCACAGGCCATGGCAAAGTTCCCAAGCTAGTATCTGGACCTCAAGGTGGCTTTGCAATAGAAACAGAACATCTACCACAGGTATGGCCTCTCTTATATCTCCATCCCTGGTGTGGGCTCCTTGAATACAGAGATCTGGTCAGATGTGGAGGGTATGTAACTCTAACTGCAGTGAAAGAACGTGACCAGTTTTCCTGGGGTGCAGGTTTTGCTTGCACTGAGTAGATCTTCAATCAGCAGCTGCTTGGAACACAGCCGTGTTTCTCTGGGTCTGTGATGCCTGCGTGAAATGCTGTGGTGTCCCTCAAGCATTTTTAGCTGCTTCATGGATATGCTACGGCTTCTTCATCATCAAAGAATGTCAGAATATGTGTACTGAGCATAGAGCAATGGCTAGAACCATGTGTATGTGTGTATAAATACATACACAGAAGAAAATCTATAATCGTAATGAGACTTTACAAGAATAAGCATTTTTAGCTGCTTCATGGATATGCTATGGCTTCTTTCTCATCAAAAAATGTCAGAATATGCATACTGAGCATAGAGCAATGGATATAACCATGTGTATGTGTATATAAATACATACACAGAAGAAAAATCTATAAACTTAATGAGACTTTACAAGAATGAAAACTATGCTGAATTTGTCAGGAGATGCCTACTCACAGTGCATGTGATTATCAAAACCTTGGGGTCTAGATCCCATTGTGAGTCCCAATTAGAGGAGACCCACTGAAATAATGGAGTTGTTAAATGAGTACTTACATGTCAAAGTGATTCACTGAGTCTACCCTACAGGGATAGCTACTGTTTTTAGTCTTTATACTGTACTGTGGGATTTTTTTTCTTTAGCATTTATATTGTTTTTCACACAATGCCTATTTGTTACTTGTACAGGATATACGTGTATTTTCGTCATTGTGCTTGCCAAGTGAGCTGAAAGTGGCATATTCTCATTGCTGGGATGTATGCCTTGAGAGTAGATAACATTTAAGTTAGCCAACTAGAATTGTTGGTTTTTTTCTCACCAGGGCTCCTGCACCTTCTGTGTGTATGTGTAGATAGTTGGCCAGTGAAACTCTTCCATTCTCAAAACTCTATTCTGGAGAAAGCTTTACCTGGTGAATTTCTTTTGTCATGCAGCCCATAAAGACACAGAAAACATGATAGGAAAAAAAAAACTTCAGTAACCCTAAGAATTGTTCAGTGATGGAAAAGAAGCTACTTAGGGAACTTCCTTTCTTAGAGATACTAAAATAAAGCTGACCAGCATTGATAGGTGAAGATATATTCAAAGAAAGAAAGTTTGTAGCATGCATGTCTTTCCCCAGCTGCTGCATATATGCATATAGTGCTTGGTTTCTGTAAAAGTGCCTCACTTCAGCTGCTCCTTCCTGACCACCGAGCACATGGATCATTCTCTTTCTACGTCTTTCAGTATGTTGTAGATTATAGTATGTACCTTCTTGGCAACCACTGTACCACTTTCTGTGGTGAATCCATGTGATTGTTGGGCCTAAGGAAAGGCCTAGTAGTTGCAAGGATGGGAAAAAGATACTTTGGGGCACTACAACTCTGAGAATATGCCAGAATGCACCTGGCAGCATGGGAAGTTCCCTTCTTGTGAAGCAAAGCAAAGCCTGCTGCTTATGAAGCAATGTTTCCCATCTCTGAAGAGGTACAGTAGCATCTGAAGTCTGACAATGGCTATCTATTTGTATATGTGAACAGGGAACAAGTGCTTGCATAATTTGGCAGTAACCTTTGCCTTCTTTGAAGCATCAGTGTGCATTTATCTAACAGCTGGGTAATGACATTCTGCATGAGGACAGGGATTTTCTTTGGTCTTGCCACTGTGTTCCCTCTTCTTCTTGAGAATAGCATCATCAAGTGAAGGGCACCCTCCTGTTTCCCCTGCGAGCCTTGAGTTGCCAGGCATTGGGTAGATCAGATGAAGGAGAGGAGGGTGGAAGGGAGAAGGAGCAGGCAAAGTATTAAACATCCACCACAAAAGTTCTCCTGTATAATAAGCACCATTGTAGTGAATAGGAGCTGTGGGCGAAGCTGCCCAGTGGGTTGTGACGAATGTTGGCCATGGTTTGAAATGGGGCTGTGTGCTCTGAAACAAGTTCTTTGTCCACTGTTGGAATCTGGGAGCAAGTCAGAATGGGATATGGCTTGGAGAAGGCGGAGGGGGTGGTGGTGATGATGGTGGTGCTGAGGGAGACTGGTACGGCTTGCAGTCATGCCAGAGTATGTGTGGAGGGCTGGCAAAGATGGGGAGATACTGCCTGGCAGTAAGATCCAGCTCATAGCTCTCAATCAAAACACATGCCAGATTACATTCATAAGACATTGCCTGAAAATGTCCCATTTTCACTTCCTTTCCTCCTGTGCCTCCCCCATGCACTTTGCTGATGGGAGAACCTAAAGTGAAAAGCAGGTTTGTTTGGGCTCCAGGAGTGTGCCAAGAATTGCCAGCTTTGTCAGCTTTTCCCTTTAAAGCTGTAATAATATGGGGAACCACTGAGGTGTACTTTTCATAACAGACACAATGCAACCTGCCAAGACTATCTATTGAATCCACACAGATACCAGCATGGCGATCATTCCAGAGTGGGATCCAGGTCAAATGAAACCAGTGCTGTGCTCTCGGGCTTCTAAGGTGAAATTGGCCAGAAGAATTGCATTAAGACAGCCATGTCTTAGAGTGATTGTGTGGTTCAGATATTATGTTCTGAGCTAGGATGGGGCAATGCAAGCCCTCCAAACTATATTTGGGCGACAGCCACTAACCGTCTATTCCAGCTTGGCCAATGATGAAGGATTATGGAAGTGGGAGTAAAAAAAAAAAATCTGAAAGGTCAAAGTTGCCCATCCCTGCAACTCAGTGCTCCCCAGATGGTAACTTAAAGGGCAAGTCTAATCACCCCAGCCAGTGACCCAAGATGTGCTCTATTCAAAAACAGGCAGAAGGTGCTGAGTTAGTTAAGACTGGGCTACCTGTTAGAGAACATTTTTGCAGGTGGTGTACCAGACTGATTTGTCATCTACTTAGCTAAATTTGGCATTTTACCTATTGTTTTCTTCCCATATCTTTTAACGCTGCTAATCTGAACAAATGATTTAAGCTTCTATGAGTTTTTCTTGATTGGAGTCATCTACTGCACTGTGATGCTATTTTATTGTAGTTTTTAATTGTTGTGTTTTCTCCTCCTTTGGAGCTACTCTGGAAATGCAGGCTGACCATTTAAGGATAGTGTGTACAAACTTTGGAAGTAAACCAATAAGTAGCAGGGGTTTCCAGAAAGGGTAACTGTGTTATTTTGTAGCAAAACATAACAAAAGAGGCTTGTGACCCTTTAAAGGCTAACAAATGTAATGCAGCATAAGCTTTTGCGGACAGAAGTTCACTTCACCAGATGTAGGCTTGTGTCAAAATTAATCTGTTGGTCTGTAAGATACTATATGCTTTTTGTCTTTGTAGGGTTTGACAGTTCTTGGGAAGGAAGGAATTCCCAAGGATAGGGTAACAAGTGTTTTGGAAGAAGGGTGAGTGGACTTTAAAAAGAAAACAGCTGGAAGTATAGTAGGCAGTGGATTTGTCCGAGTTCAATTTAAAGAGCTGTTTTAAAGCCTTAAAGCAGGGGTATGGAAGGCATCCAGATGTTTGTGCACTGCAGCTGTTATCCTTCATCACTGGCTAGGGCTGATAGGAGCTGATGTGAGTTGGAGTACAGCAACATCTGGAGGGCTATATTTCCCACCTCTGCTCTAGATTTTTGAAGGCAAGTTACTTGATTGTCTTGTGTCCTCTGTATCAGAATATTTGTACTCTGGGGTCATCACCTTCTCACTTTTCCCCTGGTCGTGGCCCCATATTTTTGCCTGTATATGCATGTCCTACCTGGATCCTGTGGGCTATATGATGCCCACTCTGTTCTAGGGTAACTGGAGTTCATAGAAAAGAGAACTTTTGAGGGTTTGGTTTGTTGTAATTTAGCATTGTAAGGCCAAGAAAAGTGGCACTTGTCAAAATCCCCACTCTTGCAATATATGTTGTTTACAGAAGCCTGCTGTCTATATTGTAGGACTTTCTTACAAATGCATGGCCAGTGTTGCTGGGAGACTTAAATTCCCACAATCCCTGACCATTAGTCAAATATGGGGCTGATATGCATTGAGGTTCAGCAACATCTGGAAGACCCCATGCCTCCCACAGGTACCCAGTCCCTATGTCCTAATAGAGGACTTGTGCCTTTAACAACTGCCTGGCAATCAAAAATTTGGCAGGTGCCCAATATCTCATTTGCACACCTGGAAAATTCTGCCCCTGTTGAATTTCTGCCTAGGGTGCAACAGCAGAAAGGCAGTGGATAAGATTCAAAGATTCAAATAACTGCTTAGCATTTGGTGATTGTGGTTACTGTCTATCTGCTTAAAACGGAGTTGTTGGGAGGATAAAAGGAAGAAAGACCCATGCATTGCTTTTGCCCTGAGTTCCTTAGAGGGGATATAAATGCAATAAATAAATTGAATAAACAAATGGTTGGAGCTTCAGAGCTTTATGAGCATTGAAGATTTAGCAGAGATGAAAAGGGCCAAAAGTTGACATTCCATCAACATCGCTGCTACTGGTTCACAAAACAATCTTATTTTGCTTGCCCTTAACTGCCCCTGAGTAATGACTCATAGATTCCAGATCAGACGGCTGACATTAGCCAAGAGTTTCTGTGTATGAAACTGCCCATTTCTCCTCTTGGGGGCAGGGAGGGAGAAATCACTGCCTTTGACTTAAAGATCTGGGTCGTATCCAGCATTGAGATTTGTCTTTTTGCATAATTGATGGAGTCCATGCATTTGATACCTGAACATCTTGCTTCTTTCAATAATCACTAATGCTTTTCTTTCTCCTTTTAAATTGCTGGGGCAGAGTATTTGGTTCCTCATTCCTTATTAAAGAGCAAACATTCTGTTTGTGCTCAGGCATGCTCATTTTTCTTTATTTCCTATATTTTTGGATGTAGTTTTCTGGTACTGGAAACAGAGTCTCTATCTGAGTTTGGAGGCAAATTGATAATCACCATTAGAGCCAAGCGTTCAAAGTAGCTGATATGAGAAGGACTACAGCTCACATCACACTTTGCAGAAGAATGCAAATTCAGCCACTGCAGTCTCCAACGGATGTATCTCAGAGGCAGGGCTAGATCTACCATTAGGCAGAGTAAGGCAACTGCCTTAGATGCTCTGATGGGAGGTGGGCAGCAGCAGTGGCAACCCTACAGCGACATCTGCACCTTTGATGTTATCCTGGTGACAGGACAGCATCAAGGGTGCAGGGCAGGTTGTGTAGAATGTACGGCTCTGGCTTCCTACAAAGGAGAGCTGGTGGTGGTAGTGGCTGCTACTGCCACCTCTACTCCATTGCCCTCTGTTGGCTGGGCACCCAGCTCATTTCTTCTTGAGGGTAGAGCTGGCTCTGGCAATGCTCTGACCCTGTAGAAGGCAGCTGCCTATGTTCCTTTTAACATGCAATTGTTTTGCCCCATTTATGGAATTTTACAGGAAGTCCAGATCTTGGCATGCTCTATAAGAGCTTAGAAGATGTTACCGGGAAAAACGGGATAGCTGCCCAGTATCTTTGGTAGCGTTAAGAACCCTCTGGAACCTCATTGATTATCTATTCTATCTGTAGGAGATTTGCTGGATAATTCTAGGCATTTTAAACAGTGTGCAGGCTCTCTGTAATCTTGGCATGGCTAAAATATTTTAAATTTTAAAAGGCCCCACTGGGACCTTTTCCTGTGTAAATTCAGTTGCAAACTTTACATTTGTTTGGCTCTTGTGCCTTCAATAACCTTCTGCCATGAAGTTATGAAGTAAGTAAAGCACTGACTATCAATTTTATTTCCCTTGCTCATGAGATGAAGAGCCATAGGCTTTGGGAAGTCTCTAGAGGAGTGATTTCTGAATTCAGTGCTGGAGTGTCCTAGTGCGTAGAGCCAGCTCTGTCATTAGGTAGAATGAGGTGGCATGATGGTCAACTTGCACTGTATAATATCTATGTGAGTCTGCAGATTAAGATGACAGAATATTGCTTCATCCAGATAAGTCCCTGCATAGTGCAGGGACCTATTAAAAGCCATAGAAAGGATTGAAGTCCCTGGTGAGTAACTTAGTTTGTCTGGATGCATCCCAAAGTTGTGCATTCTGAATTAAGGGTGAAGTTACTTTGGCCTTATAGAGGTTCTGGCCAACAAACACACCACTGGCCATGCTCTGCAGAACTGATGGGAATTGTAGTCGAAAGCATCTAGAGGGCCAGGGGCTCCCCATCCATAGTCTAGAAACAGGCTTCTCATCTGTGAGAAGTTGTTGTTGTTTAGTCGTTTAGTCGTGTCCGCCTCTTCGTGACCCCATGGACCAGAGCACGTCAGGCCCTCCTGTCTTCCACTGCCTCCTGGAGTTGGGTCAAATTCATGTTGGTAGCTTCGATGACACTGTCCAACCATCTCGTCCTCCGTCATCCCCTTCTCCTCTTCCCTTTACACTTTCCCAACATCAGGGTCTTTTCCAGGGAGTCTTCTCTTCTCATGAGATGGCCAAAGTATTGGAGCCTCAGCTTCAGGAGCTGTCCTTCCAGTGAGCACTCAGGGTTGATTTCCTTCAGAATGGATA